ATTTTATTTTATATATATATATATATATATAAATGATGAATTGAAGTGGCACAAAATCTCTTATTAATCTGCAAATAAAAATGATCTTCTGTAAAAAAAAAATTGTTTAATGTTGATTTATTATGTTTTGTTATTTCTAAATTTAGTTACGTAAACAAACAAAAAGAAAAAAACAACATGACGTATTTACACAACTAACAATTTACTTGATAATTGTTTATTCCCTTATCTATTTAGGATGTATATTTAAATAGTCAGATAATAATAATAGATAATTATATTTTAAGATAATTTTCTTACATTGAGTAACGTGTTATTTTCAAGTGCGAAGTTAAATAATTATCATGACAAATTCAACAAAGCTTAAATTGTTCAATTGACATTTTACATTTTTTTTTTTGGTTTGATCATTTTTTAAAATTGTATGAAATCTTTATATGCAACGGTTAATACAATGGGGAACCATTTAAATCTACAATATCTACATGGAACACCTTAGCATGGACACGAACCCATTTTTAATATTTTAGCATGGATATGAACCTTTTTATTATATATATATATATATATTATATAAAATTAAGGAATATTAAGGAATGACCTCGTTAGTCAATTACTGGTCACAATTTTATCGAAAATTTCCAAATTTCAATAAATTCAGTTTAAAAATTTTACTTAAAAAATAAATAAATAAATAAAGTACTTCATTTGATTAATTCAATATAACTCGTATAACGTTTAATTAATTTATTTTCATTTTGGCGATCAGTTCCCGTCCTGTTTGGTTCAGTTTCGTGTTTCAATTTTTACGAAAGTTTAAAAAAAAAAAAAAAAAAAAATCAAACCCACAAATACATTTACAAAATAAATTAACATAAATAATTATCATCATCATCGCCGTTTTATATTCATATATTTCAAATTATAAAATCAAATTAAACTGGCATAAGAAATATTTTTAATTTGATATATAAGAAAAAAAAACACACACACACAAAAATCCCACTCTTACCATACGTCGAATAGAATCAACTATAAAGTAGCTTTCTACTATTTAATGGCGTATCAGTCAAATATTCGTGTATATATATATTAGTGAGAATGATTTAATTTGTCGGTTAAAAAAAAAAAAAAAAAAGGAACAGTGTTTAATAATAAAAATACTTCTTTCATAATCTCTACACGGGATATGAAAAGGAAAAGAAGAAGAAGAAGAAGAAGAAAAAAAAAGTAGGAAAAGTAAATAAAGAAAGAAGAACGAACTTGTTGTTACAATAAATAATGTCTCTCAATAAATCGATTAATTATAGACGACTTTGAACCAAACTGACTAGTGTTAGAAACAGATATAAATCTCATTTGTGAAATGGTAAACAAGACTTTCTCGTTTTTAATCGATTAAATGTCTCTCATCGTTTTGGAATGATCTTTTAACGATATTTTTCAATTTCATTCTACGACTAACCGTTAAGGAAGAATGACGTTTAACGTCATTTATACGTAATAACTTTCTTAGAACAATAAAACAACAAATTTGTAACTATTATTTGTTACGTGTGTGTAATATCTACATTGTTTTGTGTTGTGTGTTAAGTTAAATGTCTCTTATCATACTTATTTAAATATAACATTGTTATATCTTTAACACACATTGTTATATATATATATATATATATATATATATACAAATATTCGTGATCAAATTTTGTAAAACGTCAGTTGGTTACCAATATTCAATACTTTTATTGTTCTATTACTATCTTCTTCATTTGTGAAAGTTGTATCAAGTATCACATACCTTCTCGTGAATTTCTCTTCTCGTCTTTGATTGTTTTTACTTTTTTATATATACATATATATATATATTTATTCCTTTCATGTCCTGTTTTCAGACAACAGTTTAATTTTAAATTTTGTTTACTTTCATTTCACATTATTATATACTTTTATCGGATAGAAAACAACTTTCTCGACTGATTAACATTTTAATAAGAAATATTATTTATTCATATAATGAACGAAGAAACGAAAGAAGATGAGATACATATGACAACGGTAAGCTTATTTATTAATTAATTATTTCATATTTTGTTATACAATATATTACATTATTTATTTATATTAAAATTTGTTTAATTCAATGTTAACTGATCTAGGTTATATTTTTTATTTTAAATATATATATATATATATTTAAATTTGTACTTTGAACACAATTTTTAGGTTAATTATATTTCAACTAATTATATTCAAATTTATTGTTTCACATTATTGTTACTTACTTTTCATTTCCTTTTGAAAATGTTCTCATTTTATTTTATATATATATATATATATATAAATTTGTATTTTGAACACAACTTTTAGGTTAATTATATTTTAACTAATTATATTCAAATTTATTGTTTCACATTATTGTTACTTACTTTTTATTTCCGTTTGAAAATGTTATCATTTTATTTAATATATATATATTTCAATTTGTACTTTGAACACAATTTTTAGGTTAATTCTATTTCAACTAATTATATTCAAATTTATTGTTTCACATTATTATTACTTACTTTTTATTTCCATTTGAAAATGTTATCATTTTATTTAATATATATATTTAAATTTGTACTTTGAACACAATTTTTAGGTTAATTATATTTCAACTAATTATATTTAACTTTATTGTTTCACATTATTGTTACTTACTTTTTATTTCCGTTTGAAAATCTTCTAATTTTATTTAATATATTTGTATATATGTATTATCTATCTATCTATATATATATATATACTAAAGAACGTAATATGTCGCTTGTACAATACCGCGAAAATATAAATTTGTTTATCTACTTAAAGTGACATCATGTTTCTCGGTATTTATCATCTTTGAGATTATTTACTACGACTTATCATTCTTTTTATTTTTATCATACTTTAAGGTTAACTTCCTATTTTTTTTTTCTTTTTAATCTTTTCCACATTTTTATTTTTCTACAACATTCTATGAGATTACTTTTTTTTGTATTAATAGAAATTACTCATTGTTATTGCGTTTAATCTTGAATACAAAAATTGATGTACATTTTATAAATTTACATAAATTATTATTTAATTAATATATAAGATTGAAATATTAATGTTTCATGTCATTTTCATTTACAGCCTGAACTCATAGAACATCACGGTTATATACCTGAAACTCATTATATTTGGACAGAAGATGGTTATTGTTTAACAGTACATAGAATCATAGGACCCAAAACATCAAATGAACAATTGACAGATTCCAATGTTACATCTAACACAGAACAAAATGTTACTGATGACTCAGAAATATCAACTTTATTAAATGTTGACAAATTGACACTTAATGAAAAGCCTGAAAATAATTCATCATCCAGACCACCGGTTATAGTAAATCATGGAGTACTTTCCAGTTCAGCAGATTGGGTTTTACTTGGACCGCAGAAAGCTCTTGGTATGGCTCTTCAAAAAAAAACTTGAAGAATATTTTGAATGTATTACACATAAAATTAATTCTTTTATTTATATTTATATAATATTTTTATCAGCGTATACTTTGTGTCAAGCTGGTTATGATGTATGGTTGGTAAATGCACGTGGTAATGCGTACTCCAGAAAGCATAAAATTTATACACCGAAGAACAGAGAGTTCTGGGACTTTAGGTAACCTTACTTTCAAATATTATCATTGATAAACTTAAAAGATACGTGTAATATTTGTTTATCATTGAATTACAGTTATCACGAGGTAGGATATTACGATTTACCAGCAATAATAGATTATGTTTTGGAAGAAACTGCCAATTCGGAATTATCTTATGTCGGCTATAGTCAAGGAACTACTGCATTTTACGTAATGGGCAGTGAAAGACCTGAATACAATGCTAAAGTTAAAGTAATGGTCAGCTTAGCGCCAATAGCTTTTTTATATAATCAACAAAGTCCATTACTCAAATTAGTTGTACATTTTTATAATTTAGTCGAGGTAATACAACAATATTAATTATTTATTCTTCTATATTCGTCACATTTGTTTGTTTGTTTGTTTTATAATTATGATAATTTATGTTTTACAGTGGGGTTCTTTTTATTGCAATATACATCATTGGTTCCCTCATAGTAAGTTTCAAGCACGTGCAGTTAGTACCATTATTCGTAATGCTCCTCCCGCATTGACAAAGAGTTTTTGCAATTGTTGGTTTCACATAATTGCTGGATTTGGTAGTAATCAATTGGACAAAGATATGTTTCCTTTAATTTTTGGACACTTTCCAGCTGGTGTTTCAGCCAAACAGATTATTCATTATAGTCAAGGCATTGTATCAGGTATATACAAGAAAACAAACTAACACACTCATCAATGATTTTCATTAAACATTTCATTATATTCAACTTGTCGTTCAATCTTTTTAAGGAGCATTTAGAAAATTTGATTATGGGTTTAGTCAAAATTTAAAAAAATATGGTTCATCTCAACCACCAAAATATGATTTAAGAAAAGTTAAAGTACCAGTGGCAATATTTTACGGAGAAAATGATTCTTTGACACATTTTTCGGTAAGTAACTTCGTTATTTCAATTTATTTTCTATTTAATTTCTATATTGTCATGATTATTATTATTTCATTAAAATGTTGTTTTACAGGATGTGCAAAAAATTATAGACAAGTTACCGAATGTAATAGAGACGAAGAAAATCGAATATTCGAAATTTAATCATGTCGATTTTCTATGGGGTAGAGATGCTAAAAAACTTGTTTATAATAACGTTGTAGCAGTATTAAAACGATTCTAATTACACTTATAAATATTGGAAACCATTTTGGAAAAAAAAAAACCAAAAAAAAACTAATTATAATACATATATATATATATATATATATATATATATATAGATAGATATATTTACATATATAAATAGAATTCATATTTAAATAATCAAATATGCATTTGTAAAAAGTTGATCGAAGGACATCTGGATGGTTCAAAGATTACAACAGTCACCCAGAAAGCAGCAAATTTGCAGGTTCAAGTTTCGATTAATCCAGTTAGTCCAATGGCCTAATTTTTTCATGAATAATTCTATTTATATAT